CTCCGCCTCCTGGGTTCAGGCAATTCTCCTGCCTCAGCCTCCTGAGTAGCTGGGATTACAGGCACGTGCCACCATGCCCAGCTGAATTTTTGTATTTGTAGTAGAGACGGGGTTTCACCATGTTGACCAGGATGGTCTCGATCTCTTGACCTCGTGATCCACCCGCCTCGGCCTCCCAAAGTGCTGGGATTACAGGCTTGAGGTAGTGTCTTAAATCCTGTCTCCCCGCCCTGCCATCTCCCCCCTGTAGACCTCAATAGCTGGGCTTCCTGGACCCTCTTCGTACACGTTCATTCAGAACTCTGTCTCCCTATTAATCATGGTCTTGGTGAAGTCACCCCCACAGAATCTACAGTCTGACCCTGAGAGCTCAAAGAAGCCTGAGACATTTTCAAACCCTCCCTTATTCTCCAGAATTTGCAGAGTCCAGAAAAGAAGATGAACTTGCCTCTCACCCCTCTCTCTCCTCTCCTCACTGTCACTGTCCCTAATACCCCTTCCCACCACCCCCTGGCCCCTTTGAGGATAACCTTAACTTTGGTCTGTATACTCCAACTTTTCATTGCTGTATGTCCTATTTACCCTACACTTATACCCATTTATACACCTACACCTAGCCTCATAACCACTTCTAGATGTTTACTCCTCACAAATATGCATAAATCAAAGAATAATTGTCCTGCTTTCCCATTGGATTCTCAGCCCTGACTCATCTTTCACTATGGGATCTACTATTTGTCTCTAAGTATTAGGAATGAACAACAGAAGATGTAGGTTCCCCTTTCATTCCCATTACTATTCCCAGGGCCAGCTAAGGGGCTGGAGGGCCATGGTTTGGGACAGCCCAGAGTCTGCACAGCATTGTGGTCAGAGCTGGATATGCAGAGAGATTCCAACTCCTAGGTCCTACTCAGACTGGACACAGCTCCTCTGTTCCCCCTACCCAACTGCCCCTCACCCATCCAGCAGCCCATCACCTACTCTGCATCCTCTTCTTGTCACGGTATCCTCCCTGGGCCTGCAGCAGCAACACACAGAGAACCAGGACAGGCAGCAGTGTCTGGAATGGCATGACTCTGGCCAGAGCATGAGCCCTAAGTCTGGCCAGATGGTTACACACTTCCCTGCAGAGTTGCCTGTGGAGAGGGAAGGAAAGAAGGAGTGATCCTTAGCTCCTGGCTGCCTCCACTGGCCAAGTCAGGGCAGAGCAAGAGTCCTTGCTTCCTGCCTTTGCTTCCTCCTGGCCCTGTCCTTCTCCCTATAGGATAGGGCTTCTGCAGGAATGACGCCTCCTCCTCCCACATAACCAGTCCTGTGTTCTTGCTAACAGAGGTTTCCTTTTCTGTTAAAAGGAAAACTTTTAACAGAATAAATAAATATATCTGCTTTCTAATTACAAAATTCTTTACAGGAAAAAAGAAAAGAAAAAATGTAATTTTTAAAAGGTGCTTAGAATTAACCCGTATTTCATTGCATTATCTTTTAGTTCCCCTGTATATTTAATGTAAATAATCTTTTATTTTCTCATTTTTGAATCCCTATCTTTTGTTACCATTGTAAATATTATGCAAATATTTACAATGTCATTATTTCTCGAAAAGAAACGACATGATTTTTCTTCTTTTTTTCTTTTTGGGTGAGGGTAGCTACAGGAAGCCACTCCAATTTCCACAGTTGTAAAGCCAGACATTATAACATGAGCCCTTTTGAGAAGTGGCTATTTGCACATAATAGAGGTGTTCATTATAAATTCTTCCTTTTTTTCTTTTTAAGACAGAGTATCACTCTGTCACCCAGGCTGGAGTGCAGTTGTGCGATCTTGGCTCACTGCAGTCTCCACCTCCTGGGTTCAAGCACTTTATGCCTCAGCCTCCTGAGTAGCTGGGATTATAGGCATGTGCCATCACATTCAGATGATTTTTTGTATTTTTAGTAGAGATGGGGTTCTGCCTCGTTGGCCAGGCTGGTCTCAAACTCCTGACCTCAAGTGATTCACCCCTCTAAGCCTCCCAAAGTGCTGGGATTACAGGTGTGAGCCACCATGCTCGGCCTAATTATAAATTATTTTTATCAATTCATTACACAAAACTCTATATGATTGAGCTATATTTTTTATATTAAGTTCCAGGGTAAATGTGCAGGATGTACAGGTTTGTTGCATAGGTAAACATGTGCCATGATGGTTTGCTGCATCTATCAACCCATCACCTAGGTATCAAGCCCAGCATGCCTTAGCTACTTTCCCTGATGCTCTCCCTCCCCTGACAAGCCCCAGGTTGTGTTGTTTCCCTCCCTGTGTCCATGTTCGGCTCCCACTTATAAGTGAGAACATGGGGTATTTGGTTTTCTGTTCCTGTTTTAGTTTGCCAAGGATAATAGCTTCCAGCTCCATCCACGTCCCTGCAAAGAACATGGTCTTATTCCTTTTATGGCCGCATAGTACTCCATGGTGCGTATACGTGCCACATTTTCTTTATCCAGTCTATCATTGATGGGCATTTGGGTTGATTTCATGTCTTTGCTATTGTAAATAGCGCTGCTATGAACATATGTGTGCATGTGTCTTTATAGTAAAGGAATTAATTGAAAAGTTATGATAGCATTTACAATTTCCTTTTAAAACTTCACGGTGATTCATACCTGTAATCCCAGAACTTTGGCTGAGATGGGCGTATCACCTGAGGTCGGGAGTTCATGACTAGCCTCGCTAACATAGCAAAACCCCATCTTTACTAAAATTACAAAAATTAGCCAGACATGGTGGTGCACGCCTACTAATCCCAGCTACTCAAGAGGCTGAGGCACGAGAATTGCTTGAACCTGGGAGGAGGAGGCTGCAGTGAGCTGACATTGCGCCACTACACTTCAGCCTGGGTGACAGAGTGAGACTCCTTCTCAAAAAAAAAAAAAAAAAAAAAAATTCAAGACTCTGTGAATAAATATAGCAAAGATACATACAATTTCCACAGGGAAAAATTATAAAAAGTGTTAAGGGACATGAATAAGATCTACATACATATGAGAGAGATAGCAAGATCAAGATTAGGGGGTTACGAGGGATATGAAAACACTACGTGGCCCTGGAGTGGGTGTGATTGGGAGGTGCTTGGATTTCTGCCCTGCCTTTTTGATTGGAGTACACAGTGAAAGGCTAGTAGTCACAGCGGGCCTCTACTTTGCCCTCTTTCCCTCTCTTCTCCTCACAGCAGTGCCTGGTCAAACCCAGCAATCCTTGGCCCAGAACTTACTCACCTGTCCCACTGGCACCATGAATCCCGTGCTGCCTCTGCAGTTCCTGGTGGTGTTCTGCCTAGCACTGCCGCCGGTGCCTGGGAGTCTCAAGCAGCGTTTTCTGAGTAGGTGCTGGGTCTGGGCCAGGGAGGGAAGTAACATCTGTGGACAGGAGAGGATCTGAGGGCTGATAGTCTGTCGTACCTCTTGGAAAAATACTGTGTCATGTTCAAGGGCGCAAGCTTTATTGTTGGCAAGATCTAGGTTTGAATCCCTGCTCTGTTGCTTACTGAGTGACCTTGGGCAAAGTATCTGGGCCTTAGGTTTTTGTCCTTGTAAAGGATATGATTATATGGGGATAGTTGGAGAAGAACAGATAATGCATGCAGGCATAGTTCACGCTTACTAGACCATGGTAAATGCTCAGTAATATTAAATGCTGTAAATGTGATCAGCCTTATCATCCAGCTTAGTCTTGCTTCCCATGGCTCCTTCACGGATGCTTGGACTCCCTTTTCAAGCATTAAAACAGAGAGACAATGACGCTGGTAGAACGCAAGCTGAAATCTATATAACCTTGGCCTTGGAGGATGTTTTGGAAGTTAGGGGGAAAAAGGCTTGCATTTTATTCCACATTTTCAAACGCCAGAGGTACTGGTAATTCGCATCAATGGGACAGCGTAGAGTCCATCTCAGTAGCCACCACAGCCCAGCTCAACTCAAAAGACCTCTGGCTATCGTAATGTTGACATCAACCAATACCAAATGGGAAAAGAACTGTTATTCATCATACATCCACTCTTCTATGGAGAAAACATCTTCAGAATACTGGGGCTCAGAAGAGGGACAGGTGTGGTAGCTCATGGGTCTGGGGAGGCTAGGTCCTGCTTTAGAAGTTTCAGAAAGGGCATGCAGGTTTGTAGGACTAAGAGGGACTAAGCAAGCTTCAAGAAAATAGGAATGCGCAGGGTAGAGTTAATTGGAGAATCAGAATTCGAGGAAAGTCACAAAGAGGCTTTCTAAGACTGGAAGTGATGTGAGTGAAGTTGGGACCAGATACCCAGAAGAGGGGTCAAAACGTGAAAAAGGCGACCTCTCTGAGATCTCTGGATCATGGTGTCTATCCCTAAACTGTCCTATTGAGCCCCAAGCTCTTCAAAGTGTGGACTAGTTCCACTTTCTTGCAGTGTCCCAGTGAGCTATAGGATAGCTGAGAGGCCAAGAGTGAGTACTAGTTACCGGTCTCTGTTAAATTGTCAACAGCTTGGACCTCAGCTTCTTTTACCCCCAATTCTGGTGCAATTTGCTGCTACAATTATAGTCATAACCTCTTTCTTCCTTCATTCCTTTCAAATCATAATATCCTATAGATTCCCATCTAATTACACATATCTGCATAGAAATAGACCCACAGATGGGCAATAGAATGCCCTACTTTTGACTTTTGCCCCCAAAGAAAGGGCAAGTCACAAGGTACAAAAATTAGGATCTGGAAGGGCTTGGAGAAAGGGGTTAATGGGGCCCACCCTTAGAGTTCAGGAATAGAAAGGAGACTGTGGGTTGTGGCCTTAGGGAAGAAACTCCCAGGGCAGGTAGGTCTTAGCTTTGAACTGAGATACTTGAGGGTAGGGGAGGAAATAGGAAGGCAACATAAAGATGCTTATTCTCCTCCAACAGTAGAAAGTGAGGCATCCTGGTGCTCTGGCCTCCTGATCGGGAGACACCAAGGAAGCAAAAGAAGCTGAATCTTTGAACCCCATTCTGAAATCTCCACCCTTCTTACCATGAAAGAAGTCACTCCCAGAACTTACTTGTGAATTGGGTCCCAGCTTTCTGATGCAGTACCTTCAGTTTACTGCGTGGTCTTCATCCTTTGCCAAAACTTATCTTTCTTTCATTCATTCTTCCTATACACAAATAACCCACATTAGGTTAACCTAAGGGTAACGTATGTTGTTAATGAGAAGCTCTATGACTTGCTGAAGACCACACAATGAGTCAGTGCAGAATGATTGTACAAACCTCTTTCTTGTTCACCATATACACCATTAATATCGTTGATAGGGACCCAACCATGGCCCTAGGGGACTTGGCGTCTGACCTACAAAGATGATGAATGACCAGTGGGTGCGGGTTTCTGCCAAACTCTATTCTTGATCAAAAAATATCCATGCCCGACTTCCCTGCTCAGAACTCAGAGGAAGGCAGCAGCTGAGGACAAAACCTGATGCCACCGCCCTGGAACCATGCAAGGCAGACGAGGGTGGCAGCTTTCCTGGCAGTTCCCTGGGCTTTCTGAGTTCTGAACATTACTCCAGCCTGTTGGTGAGGCCCTTCTCTTACTTGTTGTGTTCCAGAATACATCTTGGAACCTCCACCCTGCATATCACAACCTGAAAACTGTACTCAACGGTGTGCATCCCAGGAAGATTGCCAGAAAGGATTTCGTTGCTGTTCATCCTTCTGTGGGCTGGTCTGTTCATCAGGTACATTTCAAAAGCCCAACAGGTAAGAGACATCTCATATCCAGGCCTGATCCTAGAGCTGCTGGTGGGAGCCCAACAGAGGAGTCTCTTACTAGCAACTGTGCTGGATCTCTCCTTTTTTTTCCCTTGGTGGCCATGTTGGCAACATGCCCCTTCTCTTGACCAAGGATAATTTCCATAAAAGTCCTGATTAGAAAAGCCCTCCTCTCCCAATCACTACATCCCATTACTATATCTGTGAATCTCTGACTCTGCCTCTCTGAACACACTCACAATGACTTTATCCACAGACATTCCCCTGACCCAGAATCTACCCTTAGCCCAGGGACACTTTACCTGCAAGTATCAACAAAACCCAAAAGCAAATTTTGCTTTACACTTCCCCGCTTGCCCTCCTTTCACAAGACACCATCCTTTGGCTACCAGTGTTCTCAGGCTCTGGAGATCCAGCCCAAGGGAAGTTTTGCTTAATTGTCCAGACATTAACACTAGCCCCAAGCCTGCTAAATGGAGTGTGCTCCCAGGGCAGAGAAAGAACATGAGGGTGCTGATGAGACATATGGTGTCCTTTTTTTTTAAGATGGGGTTTTGCTCTTTTCACCCAGGCTGGAGTGCAGTGGCCTGATCTTGGCTCACTGCAACCTCTGCCTCCCAGGTTCAAGGGATTCTCCTGCCTCAGCCTCCCAAGTAGCTGGGATTACAGGTGCCCACCACCACACCCAGCTAATTTTTGTATTTTGGGTAGAGATGGGATTTCACCATGTTGGCCAGGCTGGTCTCGAACTCCTGACCTCAGGTGATCCACCTGCCCTGGTCCTCCAAAGTGCTGAGATTATAGGTGTAAGCCACTGTGCCTGGCCAAGACATATGGTTTTTAATCCCATCTTGCAATGTGTCTTTCTATGACCTTAAATAAGACAATTCCCCTCTTTTTTACTTTCTTTTTCTCATGAGTAAAATAAGGACTTTTGTTTTTTCCTGTTTGCAAGGCCCAGATGAAATTTCAAAAGACCCACATTGGAAGACTCAACAATGAGCCTCTTGGAAGCCTGGCAGTCTTGTTCCTTGCTGTATTCCCTACCACAAGCAGAATACCCAGCATATGAGTTAATGTGCAGAGTGATTAAGCATGAGCTCAAACCTGAGCTCAAATCCTGGTTCTACCACTTCTTAGCTGAGTGACCTTAGACAAGTTAATTAACCTCTCCCTGGGCATCAGCTTCCTCATCTTTAAGACTGTAACAATAATAGATGATCCATGAAAGCTTTAAAACATTACTTGCCAACATATTAGAGCTTCGTGGTCTAATATTCATGGTGGAAGTAATTGAAAGAAAAAATTATATCTCTAAAAATAAAACTTCACCAGTTAATATTTGAAAATATTTTTCTTCTACAGAAACAAATGCAAGCACTCAGAAGTCATCACACCTGACAATTGAGGCATGTTTCCTAGAGCATTTTGTAAGTAAGGGGTTTGGTCTGGTCTTCCTTATTTGAGATTCCCAGGGATGCTCACTTTCTTTCTCTAGCCTCACCAGGAGCACTGCATTCCCACAAGGTCAGAACGAACTCCCATTGTCTGATTGCCTCTTCCTCCATCATTCCCCTCCAAGGGCTATCTTTGCACTCCCTAGGTCAGGGTGCAGTCCAGCATGAATTCTGCAACACAGAGCAACCTAAGGAGCCAAGTCATGGCCCAAGGGGAACCCAGGGAACTCACATCTGAGGCTTTGTCAGGAAACAAGCTCTTCCAGCATCTGGGTCCAGTTGACAGCACCCTGGGCAGGGAGTCAAGCTAAGCCCTTCACACTCTGTGAGACTTTGGTCTTCTCACTGTACACCCCTGAGACAGTCACCTCCCTCATGCGAAAGATGAAGAAAGCATCATGCCTCGGGGTACTGGGAGGACAGCACAACGCCATGTGGAAGGAAGAACTTGGTCTCTGCAAAAGTTAGAAATTCTCAGCAACTCACAGGGTCACTCATTCTGGGTTCCAGTTCTTTCTCTTAAAAAAGAGGGAGTGAGAATCATCTTTGTTATTTTACTGATGTTGCAAGAATGGTGAACAAAATGGAGTCCTGTGGAATTCCACCACCAAAAAAATAAGAGTATTCATAAGTTGGCGGAGTTCATTTCAGAGTATTTGGTAAAAAAAAAAAAAAAAAAAAATTAGAAGCTTAGGGTCTTCTTTTTTCTTCTTCTTCTTCTTCTGAAGACGGAGTTTTGCTCTTGTTGCCCAGGCTGGAGTGCAATGACGTGATCTCGGCTCACCACAACCTCCACCTCCCAGGTTCAAGCAATTCTCCTGCCTCAGCATCCTGAGTAGCTGGGATTACAGGCATGCACCACCATGCCCAGATAATTTTTTGTATTTTTAGTAGAGGCAGGGTTTCTCCATGTTGTTCAGGCTGGTCTCAAACTCCTGACCTCAGGTGATCTGCTCCCCCCTCGGCCTCTCAAAGTGCTTGGATTACAGGCATAAGCCACCATGTCCGGCCAAGCTTAGGGTCTTCTAATGGTCCTTCTGATGTCTCCAGATGTTCCGAATTGGAATGGTGGTCTTTCAGTTCAGTCCTTTCATTAACCCTGTATAAGGGAGCCTGATAAATAGTAGCAGGTGGAGGCCAGAGGAGCAGTTTAGACGCATGAGCACTTGCCCAGTCTCTAATGAGCCTACCGTGCTCCTGATGAGCTCCCACTCATGCTTCCAGGTTTCTATTAAATTAAACTTTCCATGGAACCATCACCAGTTCACTACAGACGGAATTGGTCCCTCTCTGTCTTTTGCAGTGCCCTATCTTTGACCTACCATAACCTTATCAGACTTTCTTATAATTGTTTGAGTTAGTATTTCCTTTGTTCAGAGGATAAGTCCCGTAAAATCACAAACTGTATGTGATTTCTTTGCCACAGAACCCTAGCACCTAGCACCATGCCTTGCACATAGTAAGGATACAATTCAGATTTTTCAAATAGGGATGAGAAGAGGCTGGCAAAAAGTAGATTAATTCTAACATTTGATAAGTTTTTCCTACAAAGAAAATCTTCATTGAACAGTCCAAAGTCACTCAAATATCAGCTGCCTACTATTTTTTTAAACTATATTTACTTATGAAAACTTACAATATGGAAAAAAATAAGCAAAATAAGAAAGCCTGATAGTATCCATTCACATGGGGTAATAGCTCTGTATTAGGGTTAAGAGTCCTAGCCACTTTGGGACTCAATCCAGCTCTGGCCTGCTGACCTGGTGATGCTGGGCATCTCCTAAGTCCTAAGAGCCCCAATCTGTCCATCTGTAAAATGGAGATGGAAAATATCTAACCCTTAGCTGTGTCACCAAGATGCAATGAAATGGCACATGCAAAGCACACATAAGGTTGCTGGCAGAGAGTCTAAGAAGAACATATTATTATCCACATCTTGCCAATCCTTCCTTTATCCAAAATTTTTGTTTTATAAAGGGATCACAGTGTATACTCTACCTTAAATTCTGGTTGGTTGTTTGGTTGGTTGCTTTTTAATTTCTCTGAGTCAGTCTGGATCAGTGAACACTGCTCTTATTTTAAGTTAATTCAGTGTTCACTGATCTTCAAAATATCTTTTTCAGAGAGAACAAGGCATAGTTACCAAAAGTACTGCATCCTTGAAAGATAATATGATTAAATCTCATGACAAAAGATTGGCTAATTTAACAGAGATCAGAATTACTCTACTATATTTCCAGTGAGTGACTGTGGAAGACTTTGCTTCCCTCTGCAAATCCCATATGAATGTTACCAACCTGGAAATGTGTGGTCACCTGGTCCCACAATTCCACTTTTCTTCCCATTGCACCCCTTCTAAATGAAGTTTTCCCAAGATAAAATTATCACAAGTCCATATCTTTCTCCTCTTTAATGACACCCTTCTAATCTGACTCCCCAGTGACCCCTAGTCCAGAGCAGGAAAAACTGTTCAGAAAATTCTATAGACGCTTTGACTACCAGAAACCGACCATACGTGGTTCGAGCTGACCTGAGTGAGACAGGTCTCTTACATACAGGTTGGCTATCACTGTTTTAATAATCTGAGTTTGATCTATCCAATACTGTAGGCACTGATCACAAAAGGCTATTTAAATGGTAATTCATATGAATTACAATAAAATAAAATATTCAATTAGTTCCTTAGCCTTACTTTCCATTTCAAGTGTTTAATAACCACACGTGGTTAGTAGCTACCATGTTACACATTATAAATATAGAACACAGAAAGTTCTAATGGAAAGCATAGGTTTAAGCTACATAACGCTGATGTCTAAAAAATGATGGCTAATTAAAGGTCATCATGACAGAGGACACCCTCTATGACAGCCTCATGTTAGGCTCCAGGAAAAGTTTTTGGAGCTATTGGGGTTCCTAAGCATAGCCTGACAACACACAATTTAATGACAGTAGTTCTCTAGAGACCCAACAGGATGTCATCCATGGATGTTTAAAGAATCCAGAAGAATAATGGACTAAGTATTCTCCCTTCCCCACAGGCCCCTACAATGTTTTTTCTTGGTTCACCTTTAGGAAGATACTGAGAAGCAAGAAATTTGAGGCCCAATATCTAACTTGCCAATTGTTTTTGAGCTTGGTGGTAAAGGCTAATCTACCATAAAACTCTTGAAGCTTAAGCTTTAGGTCAACACTTGCAAGAGCCCCTTCTAAAGTTCAGCACAGTTTCCTCCTGGGATGGGGAGAGAAAGCAGGAACCCCCCTTTGGCTTAGAGACAAGCAGCACTGTTCCAGTCCAGAGACACTATCTGTGCCTTGGTAGTGGTCTTTTTTTTTTCTTTTTTTTTTTTTTTGAGACGGAATCTTGCTCTGTCATCCAGGTTGGAGTGCAGTGGCACGGTCTTGGCTCACTGCAACCTCCACCTCCCAAGTTCAAGCGATTCTTCTGCCTCAGCCTCCCAAGTAGCTGAAATTACAGGCACCCGCCACCACACCCGGCTAATTTTTGTATTTTTTTAGTAGAGACAGGGTTTTGCCATGTTGGCCAGGCTGGTCTCAAACTCCTGACCTCAGGTGATCCGCCAGCCTCGGCCTCCCAAAGTACTAGGATTGCAGGCGTGAGCCACCGTTCCCAGCCCTGGTGGTGGTCTTACCAAACAACCACATCAACATCTGGACAACCCTCACTGATTACCCACCCTTGGTTGCACTCATCAGGCTAATTGATCCCATATTTAAGCTCAAGGAGAAATATCAACCAGAGACTGCATGGCAACCTCCCTCGGGCCAGCCTTCAAGGCTTCATGGCCATATCATGAACCCAGGACAGGCACCATAGGGGTGGTGAGGACCTGATAGAGCCAGATCAGTGAGTAAGAGGCTGTAATAAGGGGCCATGAAATCAAAATCAAAGGACTAGAGCTCTCTAAGGTCTTCCCCCAGACATGTAGCACCACATGAGCCGGAAACTGCAAAGGACATGACAGATATGGCATTACTGATAAGTTATGGAAATGGAAATAATC